TTTACGATCAGGCTACCACCAGCTGAAGATTAAGGAGTCAGATATCGCTAAAACCGCCTTCAGGACTCGTTACGGCCATTACGAGTTCGTCGTCATGCCATTCGGTCTCAGCAATGCGCCAGCTGTTTTCATGGACCTCATGAACCGTATCTTCCATCCCTACCTCGATCAGTTCGTTATTGTCTTTATTGACGATATTCTTATCTACTCGAAGAGCCAGAAGGAGCACGAGGAACATCTGAGGGTGGTTCTCGAAACTCTCAGACGAGAAAAGTTGTTTGCAAAATTCTCCAAATGCGAGTTCTGGCTCCAACGAGTATCCTTTCTGGGTCATGTGATTACTCAGGCAGGTATCGAGGTGGATCCTTCCAAGGTCTCAGCCGTTCAGAACTGGTCGACACCGAGGAGTCCGTCCGAGGTTCGCAGTTTTCTCGGTCTAGCTGGTTACTATCGCAGGTTCATCAAGGGCTTTTCTAAGATCGCCCTCCCTCTATCCCAGCTGACGAGGAAGTCTGTGAAGTTTGAGTGGACTGATCGATGTGAGGCGAGCTTTCAGGAGCTCCAGAAGAGGTTAACTTCAGCACCGGTGTTGACTATTCCCGATCCTTCTCGGAGTTTCACTATCTTCAGCGATGCTTCGAGACAGGGCTTGGGATGTGTCCTTATGCAGGACGGCCAGGTCGTCGCGTATGCTTCACGTCAGCTTAAGCCTCATGAGCAGAACTATCCTACGCACGACTTGGAATTAGCAGCAGCCGTTCATGCTCTCAAGATATGGAGACATTATCTTTACGGCGGACGTTGCGAGATTTTGACAGACCATAAGAGCCTGCAGTATATTTTCACGCAGAAGGAGCTCAATATGAGACAGCGCCGTTGGCTCGAACTTGTCAAGGACTATGACTGCTCTATTCAGTATCATCCGGGAAAGGCGAACGTCGTCGCGGATGCCCTTAGCCGAAAGGTGAAGGGTGACTTGACGTACGTCATTACCCAGCAGAGTCTGTTGATTCATGAGTTTGCCCGGATGCAACTTCAGGCGATCGATGCACTTCCCATAGCCGTTTCGGGGAGTACCAGTGCCAGTGTCAGTGCTATGCAGCTTCAGCCGACGCTGAGAGAGAAAATCCGGCGAGAGCAGGCTTCTGACGAGTTCATTCGGGTCATGGAGGCCAAGGTTCGCACCGGAGGCGTTGAGGATTTTCAGTTAGGTGCCGATGGTGCCTTAGAGTTCAGAGGCAGGATCGTGGTCC